ATGGCTGGTGGAGATCATATTCATTATGGTACCGTAGTAGGTAAACTAGAAGTCATGTTATTTATTTCACCCAATATTTGGTCTCTCTACCAGGTGTTCTACCTGTAGCTTCGGGTAGTATTCACATTTCGCATATGCCTGCTCTGACCAAGATCTTTGGAGATGATTTCGTACTACAGTTCGGTGGCAGAACTTTAGGGCACCCTTGGGGAAATGCACCCGGTGCGGTAGCTAATCGAGTAGCTCCAGAAGCATGTGTACAAGCTCGTAATGAGGGACGCGATCTTGCTACTGAGGGTAATGAAATTATCCGTGAGGCTACCAAATGGAGTCCTGAAGTAGTTGTTGCTTGTGAAGTATGAAAGGAGATTAAATTTGAGTTTCAGGAAATGGATACTTTGGATCAATAACTTTCGTTCTCTTAATTGAATTTCAATTAAACTCGGACCAATCTTTTACTAAAAGGATTGAGCCGAATCCAACATGCATATATTTTAGATAGATACAACTCAAAGACTAAACAACTCAAATCTTTCTATTTTTGTGTTGGTTGGATCCACAATTAAGCCTATGGATCCTTAGGATTGGGATATTATTTTAGATCATGTATTTCCAAATAAAAATGGATGTTTTCATAAGGAAGCCATCGAAGGCTTTCCACAAATTGAGATTTGGCCATAGAAGGATCGAATTATATCCGAAGAACAGGGGAATACAAAAAAGTAATAAGAGAGGCGCACAGACCAATCAATCGTATCGGTCGTATTCTTGAATGTAATTTGATCCAGTTCCAAAGACTAGTTCCTAGCTCAGAAAATTAAGGGATGGCTTTTTCAAGCTCATGTCGTGAGACCTCATGTATCACTTCATGAGAACGGTCTGAAGCGAAAACCAAATTTACAACATTCTTAATCCATTCAGCCTTCAAACTCAACACTTGTAGAAGCTTAAGGGACCCTAATGGTCCATAAAAATTCTTGCTTTATGGACCTGCATGCACCATGCATGTCCCCACATCATTTTATGTAAAAAGTATAAATATGGCCTCAAGTTCTCATGTATGCTTCTAATACTTAACCAACTTCTAAATCAGGATGATATGATACTCCAAAGACCATTTGAATCCATAAAGTTTCTAAATTTATGGGTCTCTTTCATTCCAACAAGTTATAACTAAAGGAATTGTGACAAAAAACCTAGATCTAGCCATGAAATGAGATAAAGTTTGAATGTTGGTACTTATAAAGGGTCCAGCATGAGAAGAGTTGATGTTAGTGATTCCTCTTTGAAACTTTCATCACAAAGATACTTATTTCTCTTCTTTTCATCTTCTTAAAGCAATCAAAACCCCAAGAATGACCAAGGATCTCAAAGAGGGCCAAAATTAGGGTTTCCAGGAGGCTTAGAGGGTAAGAGAAGTTGAAGATGTGAAACCCTAGCCTCTCATTCCCTTAAATACCTGCAATATTAGGGTTTTTGTTATTAGGTCGTTCTCCCATCGTGAGAAATTATGCATCAGGTTGTGAGACTCAAAAAGATGTGGGTCAACTGGTTAACGATTACCCACGTCGTGACCATCATATCTCACGTCGTGACCCTATTCCAAAGGCTAGAAAAATAAAGAAATTAAGTACCACTAGGATCTATATGTTACATTTCTCCCCCTGTTGAATCAGAATTCATCTTTGAAGTCCGCCACATCAATCAACTCGTGGTAATGTTCTTTCATCTCGACTTTCGGCTCCTACATCCATTTTGAACCCTTTCGATACTGCCACTACACCTTCACGAGATCTAAAACCTTGTTTCACAAAGTCTTCATCCTCTTATCAAGTTTCTCCTATCAAGGATTGCCACTAGTCTCTCAACATAATTCAGGCGATTATCCACCTGAATATCATCCAATGGAACCACTGTGGAATCATCAACCAAGCACTTCCATAGGTAAGAGACATGAAAAGTGATATGAATCTGACTGAGCTCCTCTGGAAGATCCAAATGATACAAAAACCTGCCCATTAGGCTAAAACAATGAAAAAACCGATATACCTAGGGCCAAACTTACAGCTCTTCTTGAATTGGATTACACATTTCCAAGGTGACACCTGCGGAGTACCATATCTCCAACCTAAAACTCCAAGTCTGACTGGCGTATGTCTACATAACTCTTTTGACGAATCTCTGCTATCTGAAGTATGTTGTGGACCACTTTGGTACTCCCCCTGATCCATTGACCGACCTCTCTCCAAGATATCGGGGTCCTACACTTCCTTCCGTAGATCATCTCAAAAGGAGGTTAATCAATGCTGACGTGATAACTGTGGTTATACGAAAAATCCATGAAAGGAAGATACGTGTAACGCCCGGGTTCCAGGGCTAAGCATTTTTTGCAATGTAATAGTCTAGGTCAACTATTGTAACTCTTTTTAAAGTAATAAAGATGAAATATTTGAGTATTATGTGAATTATGTGTATTTATGTGCTTATTATTTAATTATAAATGTATAATTAATAAAGAATAAAAATAAGCGTCAAAAATTGTAGTGTGAGATAAGCCCTATATCTCTATATAATGTTTTCGTGGTTGAAACAAGGATTTCGGGGATATAAAGAACGCCGAAATCCGAGTTATAACGAAAACGTTATGACCTATCGAAGTTTCGCGATGGAACTGGCACGATACCGCGAAACGTACATAGTGAATTTACGATAGAGCGAGATTTATCTTTAGCGATATAAACAAAATTCGTAGAATACGTTAAACCGAGAGCGACGTCCATAAAAAGAATGCCCTAATCTGACTTCGTATGAGGAAGTTATGATTTTTCGAAGTTTTGTCTTAGTAGTGTGCAATCCGAAATTCGAATAATAGATCGAGCGGTTTTTAGACGACACAACCTAAACGAGAATCGTAGATCTCGTTAAAATTAGCATAACAAGAAAAAGATGGACAAAAACGAACGTCGGATGAAAAAGTTATGAACTTTTAACGGTCCATTCCTGTCCCAGCATGTTAATAATATAACTTTTAAAATAAAGTCAAAATTAGCCAACGGAGTCTAAACGAAAGTTGTAGAGTACGTTCACGCATACACGTGGATATAAAGAACTTCGAAAATGGAGCTCGTATAAGAATGTTATGATTTTTAGAAGTCAGAAAGGAAAATTGCGAAATCTGCGAGGAGGAGGATAACGTGGCCGCATCTGAGCCGTTGCTTGTTGACCAAGGCTTTGCTTCGGATCTTGATATCTCGCTTCACGTTACGCCCCACGTACCTTTGGGTCTTATCCATCCGGTGTGAGAGACAGCTCGTCCAAGGTGGCAACCTTATCCGAGAACTAAGCCCCGCGTAAGCATCAGAACGCTATGCGTAATGCGAAGGCTCACAACTATAAAAGAGTTGCGAGGGCTGCCTTAATTTCTCACAAATTCTTCATTCCTTTCTCTCTCTACTTTCTCTCACTACCCCTCTAACCCCTCTTAAGCCCAGATAAGACCCTTAGCACTCTAAGGAATCCCTAAGGCTCCTGGACTCCAGAGAAAAAAGGTCTTTCGGTTTCAGAAACGCTGCTCCGAGCAAAGCCAGGTTTTCTTTAAAATCCACTGTAAGTGAGCTACGCTTATGCAATTTTTAATATTTCTTTCAAATAATTATGGTAATGTTATTAGGTCCTTAAAATAATTATTTGGGTTATTATTATGAGTTATATTAAGTGTTATTTAACGCTTATATAATAATAATAATAGCTAGACTATTAATTAGTCGCAGTTGACGTTAGACTAAACCCTAGTGTTATTGATACTATGTTTTATCAAAGGAAAATTGGAATTGAAGCGCTGTCCGAGTGCAGAATTACCACCTTTTGAGGTGAGTGCATAGTTACTTTTAGATTACACATAGATATGAAGTATTTTATATAAATTAAGTGCTATGTGTGCATATTATCTGAATATTTGCTATCTATGTTGGATGAACGTTTTTATACATGTTTTCAATGATTTAAACTGTATATGTATTTTATATCTACGAAAATGTTGGGGTAAAATATGGGTAGATGTAATAGGTGATGTGTGATAAAATGATGAGAGGCCTCGATGTTGTTTTTGTTGACCCGGTCATCTAGCAGAGTATAGATGACGATCACGGACTCTTCTAGACAATCCAGTGGAACGCTGGCAGGATCGCAACCTGTAGGTGTTGTGAACGATGTGTTCACTGGTGTACTCCAACCCCCACCTGGTTGACTTTAGGACATTTATTGATAAGGAACCCCCTTAGCAGTAGTGTCCATCCCGATGATGATCCTTAGGATAGGTGCCTTATGATAGGTGTGTAGGACGTAATGTGAGGATAACGGGAACGGGTAATCGGGTTATTGTTCGTTGATGAAATTAATAAACTTATTTATTGTGGGTTGAAAAACCTATGTGCTCACCAGGCTCCCAAGCCTGACCCACTCAGTTTTATGTATTATAGGTAGTGGCGCTTGAGCATAGTTGTGATGCGTTTGGATGAGGGATTACGGATATAAGCATGTAGATATGAAATAATGTAGTAAGAATTATATTGTATTGTTTATACTTATGTTCTGTATCGAACATGACATCCCAAGTCTTTTAATAAAATACATTTCTAAGGAAATGCTTTTGATAAATCTTTATCATATTATTGTTTTGTGACAAATTCCGCAACTCTTCTATTAAAAGGTTATTCTGATTTTGAAATAAAGTATAAACAAAACCAGTCTTTTCTGGCCATGATTTTGGGGATGTCATAGGTGGTATCAGAGCATTAGTTTAAGAGAACTAGGAATTTGTAGGATTTCTATACTTAAACTTAGAATGCTAAGCGATGATTGAGAGGTGTGAGCACTAGCTTATTTTAGGAATTGTGCTTAAAATGCTTTATGTGCTAAATGCTTTGTGCATGATATGCTATTATTTGTTCGGATCTATGGTCTGTTGCTGACCGGATCTGGAAACCTTATGTGTTTAGGATTCTAAACGTACGAGTACGATATTAGCACTAACATATAAACGTTTCGGAATGATAAAGATGATTTAATCGTCTATCCTAAATAAAGATCTAAATTCACCTTATTCGGTGTATAGATAAAAATGACAAGAACCCGCAGTGGAGCTGGGAATGTGAATGGGAATAGGAATCAACCCCCAGTGATTCAGCAAATACATGTTGTAATAGGAGCTGCACCTGAGCCAGTCACCATGGTTGGAGTTCAAGCCATGATTCGGCCTATGCTAGCTCAACAAAGGGAAGAAATGAGATTGATGTTCCACGAAAATAGGGACGAACCTACCATACACGTTGAGCCGACCGAGCCAATTCCCGAGCAATCTAAG